TCACAATATTTTAGTATTAATCTTTGTGTTTGTCTCTTAAAGAGAGCTTTAACTGAGCCATAGTGAGAAAAGAACTGTTATTACTTTTACAGATGTACCCTTCTAAAATAGGGTTGTTTCAAAGATCAGTTTTTCCCACGTCATGATTTCAATAAAATATAATTCACTGAATTTTATCTAGTTTCTAGCTCGTATTGAGTATTCATTAAAGGATGAAGTGTTGTTGATTTGGCTTAGAATAGAATAGGCCACTTCTGTAAAAAGCAGAAAATTGGACTCTTGGCCAAAAGGAAACATTCGTCATTTATTAACTGGAAAGACTCCATTTTCTGACAGCTGACGAGGGCATTGCTCATTTAGTTCTGCCAAGAATCGGATCAGATCACCATCCATCTGCCTTGCACACACCAAAGTGTTAAGCAGCATTAACCTTAATGACACCTGCATATGTTCACAAAGTCATTACGTTTCTTCTAAAAGCCTGAGGTTGGCTGTGGGCAATGTTCAAATGCTATAGTGCAATAAATCACTACAACAAAACTTTTCTCTGTAAACATGAAAGTCTTTCTGGATTTTTTTTTATTTCAATATTAAGTTTTTTTCTTGCTAGTGCTGCCTGACTGAAGAGAAAAGACTGCAAGAAGTCTTAGTCTATTTATTTGGGGTCCTCTCTGGACCCTTTCTTCTCACATGCAGCACATAGATTAATCAGGTTTGAGTTGGGGCATCACATAAAGAGTTTGTTTACACTAACATACTGTATGCACTAACAGGTTTCACATGTAGCTACTGCAGATGTCTTGACATCTACTGTACATAGTTGTAATAATAATAATTGCTTACACTTATATAGCACTTTTCTGGACACTCCACTCAAAGTGCTTTACAGGTAATGAGAACTCTCCTCCACCTCCACCAATGTGCAGCATCCACCTGGATGATGCGGCGGCAGCCATAGAGCGCCAGAACGCTCAACACACATTATCTATTAGTGGGGAGGAGAACAGAGTGATGAAGCCAATCCATAGATGGGGATTATTAGGAAGCCATGATTGGTAAAGGTAATGGGAAATTCGACTAGGACGCCGGGGTTACACTGCTACTCTTTTCGAGAAATGCCGTGGGATTTTTAATGACCACAGAGAGCCAGGTACTTGGCTTTTATGTCTCATCCCAAGGACGGCGCCTTTTTACAGTATAGTGTCCCCTTCACTATACTGAGGCATTAGGACCCACATGGACTGCAGGGTGAGCACCCCCTGATGGCCCCACTAACACCTAGTTTTTCCCAGGTCTCCCATCCAGGTACCGACCAGGCTCAGGGAAAGAATACATTTTCTATTATTCTAATGTGTTAGCAAACAAATTTGAAACCTCAGCAAAGAATCACCTGAAACATTTTTAAAAAGATGTAATGATTGATGTAACAAGTCAGTACATTATAAATGCTATGGAAGTACCTCTATTGTTTGCACTTGATTTTGGATAATTGTTAATAACTGTAATAATAAATTGTTTTACTTTTAGTTATCTAGGTGGAAAGTATATTACAGTGATCTGTAGTGCACATGTGATTACTGTGTGGTTTTGTACTTTTTTGTGCTTCCATTCCTTGCTTAGCAACTGTAGTTTCTGAGCTGAACTTCTGAAAATCTGATGATTGATTTCAATCCTAAATCTCAAGTTGAAATCTAAAAACTGATTTGAAAAAATTGTGCGTCACAGCTGTCTTTGAAGGTTGGTATGCTGGACAAGTCGTATAAAAAAGAAAAGTGTAATCATCCATACAAACAGATGCAAGCTGTGGTTTCCCAAAAACAAAGTAGTAAATAAACTGCACTGATTTCATATTTTCTTGGTGTCCCCTGTCTTATGGTTGGATAGTTGAAATGTCTATATTGGAGAAGGATCTTTTTTTTTTAGGAAAAATATTATATTACAGTTGAAAAGAAAATATGCATTCATGAGAAATATGGTTATAATGGCAGGTTATGCCCCTATAAATCTAGTAAATGCTTAAGGAAAACGTATGAAGTTTATGCAAGCCTGTGGAGAACTGGAAATGAGAATAAACATCTCTTAGATGAATACACATAGTCTGAAACCTATTTGATTATTCACTTGATATTGAATCCCATGAATGCAGGACACAGCAACAAACTCTCACTGCATCCAAAATATGGCAGCTTATTCTGGTGGTGAGTGAAAAATGCAACATGAAATATTACTATGTAGACTGGAGGAAGTATGGCAGTTCCTTACAAGTACCTTTACATGTGCATCAATCATACCATTTCAGTAATGATGTGAATTTCTTGGCTGTCTTTGGTCTATCGATATGTTTGTCCTCTATTGGATACCTATTAGATACCTATTAGTTTGTGGATCTTTTTTTTTATTTTGTTGTATGCTGTTGTTATACACAGATTTTATTTCCCTTTACGGGCTTTATTTCAGGTAATCTCACAAACTTCCTCTTGTATATTTTTAATCCCCTCAAATAAAAATACTTCTATTGCAGAGGATGTGATTTTAGTCATTATGTAGTGTTGGGTTTTGGCCAGTAATCGCCATCTGGACTTACATTTCTTCTAATATAACTGTTCTGTGGCCTCTTCCTTGGAGCAAACAGTGGTGTCAACTCTGAAATTGCCCTGGAATGATCGTGACCTAAGGCTGCCACAAGAATAATATTAAATTATTCTGGACTATTTGTTTGGTGATTGAGCTGTTTTGAAACATGTACTTTTTACCAAAATCCATTTTGCTGTTTCAGAGTAGTTGAGCAAAACTGTTGCATTTTCTGGAAAAACCCATTATTGTCATTTTAAAATTGAGATAGTTTGAAAACAGTTATAACACTTAGAGTGCTTTAGTGTCTGGTTTACACCACAATGTCATGGAATGCTGTGGCATTGGCTTTACTGACAAGAAGCTTTCAATGAAAATAAGTCAACTGGAAATGACAAAAAAACACCATCATTTCACCTTTTAAAAAGTTAGACAATAATTGGTGTCTTTTGTTTCAAAGCAGGACTTTTGTCATGTTCACCGATACCCACTTTATAGGCTTGTGTGTTAAAACCACAATTTTTTGTCTTTGGGCCAAGCCAATTACTCTGCTGTATTCCTATTGAAATAGGAACAGACAGATCTTTGTGCGTTATTGATAATATACCTCAGTCCAAGACAGAAGTTTTGTTTCAGGCCAAACCTTCAATTCTGTTCTACTTACACCCTTTGGGTCATGTGAGGTGCAAAAGAAAGTGTTGCCTTACCCTGAGGCACACAAATATAATGCAATACAAGTGCAAATGATGTAGACCCTTAAGATGACTCGGCTGTGTCTGTGTGTCTGCAAGTGACAAGTAGTATTAGCTTTATAGTAACAATTTAGCAAGTGACACAATAGGCCACGGATTCTCATTGATGGTGTGCTGTGATCAGAAAATCACAAAGAACAATCTTGATTTGGAAATCTAGATGAGTAGAACTTTCTACTCATACTTCAAGAAACCGCTTCAATTAATTTCTCAATTCTACTGTGTACTTTAATGTTACACCATTGGAAAACATTTTTGTTTAATCTTATTTACTTAAGTCTGACCTCAGACAGGATGAAGCTGTCATGTTTAAGTGCAATGTAACTGTAGAACAAATTGCCCATCAAATATATATTTAATTTCCTCCATGTACAGAAAGGTTATATGTTATTTAAGTAATCTGTTGTAACGCCTTATTTGGTTCTATGTAATACAGATGATAAATCCAGGGAGACCATTAATTTGGGATGTGTGCTTGTAGAGTAGCCATCATTTGACATGGAAATCCTACTGATGAAACATTTTTCCCCACAATGTAGTACATTACTTACTGTATGTGTCGCTGTTGAGGTGGATATTGCTGAGTTTTCACAGTATGTGTTTCGCATCTGGGAAACGAATGGAATGATCTTTTCCATTTTTCAAATAAAAAGTTTTTATTGTTTCTTACATGAAGCCATTGTTTTATGGCTGCTGTTAAAATACATGAACGATCATAAGAACTTATACAGTATATGTACCCATGTCTTTTTTTTCTGGTTTAACATTTAATTTAACCTGTCAGGTAGAAATGTCCAAGGAAAGATGAAAATATCACAATTATTTTTTTTTTAAACCTGTCATCTTTCTGGAAGTGATAAGGCAGCAGAGATAAAGAAACAGTTGCTTACAATGTGATTCGTTGAAGGGGCTGAGAGCTCTCCCAGTCTCTGCTGTGATCAGTATCTTGATGGATTTGTTCTAGTTTTATTAGTTTTGATTTTACCTTTCTCTTTTTGGTTGGATGGAATTTTTCTACTAAAAAAGATTGAAAATGTTCAGTTGAAGGTTTAATTTGCCATGCGATAGTGTTGGGGAGCAAGTAAAGGTTCATTCCACTCTGAAAAGTAAAATCAAATGAACAGCAATTTTATTGTGAAACTTTCTTCAGTTATGCAGAAAGCTTCTCAGCCAAAGTAGCTTACAAGTTGAGGCAGCTTCCCACTTTAACCTCATTAGTTATTTTTACTTATTTCTTTTTACATTCGTAGTATTTCAAGAGAATTGTACTATTGGGTATTTTCCTTAAACAGTCATTTTGGGTTTTTTTTTCTGTGCACTAGAAAAGTGGGCTGAGAGGAGTACTGGCTCCTTTGAACGACAGCTCATTTGACATGTGTTTTTTTACATAAATGTATTTTGCCCAGAAATTACTTTAGATGGTGTTACAGACTCCCATCCACCCTTAAAGAACTCCATATGTGAAGTAGCACTTGTGTTGGAAAGTAAAAGAGCAGTTTTGGTATTGTGTTTGCAGTTCATCGGAGAAAAGCTGTTCTGGTTTCACTCTTTCCTGATACTGGATTCTTCTCCTGCTGGGGCCCTTCCTTCTGCCTCAGTGGAAGGGACATTTCAGATTGACTGGAAATGTTGCCATGAAGCAAATTTATGCGGTTTCCTTTTGTCTTATACCTGCAGCTCAGAACTGCTCTGGCCTCCGGACCTGCAGTCAGTGCCTGGAGCAGCCGGACTGCGGCTGGTGCAGTGACCCCAGCAACACAGGCAAAGGACAGTGCATCGAGGGCTCCTACCGGGGACCTATGAAAGCTGTGGGGAAGCAGAGTCACGATATGATACTGGACCAAGGACTGTGCCCCAAAGAGAAAGGTTTTGAATGGGCTTTCATAAACTGTCCAGGTATGTAAAACCATCCTTTAGAACAGATGAATATGAGTGGTATTTATCATTTACCCCCACAGTTAAGATCATGGCTCCTTTACTACATACTGTAGGGAGGATGAGAACTTGCAGACATTCTGCACTAACACCCTCACCAGGGCCATCCATCTTTTCCACAGTGCTTTACAGGCAAGGTAGCACTGACCGGAGGAGTGGCATCTCTTGCTGATCTGGTTGTAAGCCTGTATGCAGCTGGCAAGTTACAGGATTTACTGTTTTGCTGAAAGCAGTGAGGGCTCTGGTTAACAAATGGCCACTCTGCCTCAAAGGTGCTCTGCCAGTTATGCACTGCTGTTTGGGGGATCCTGGTCACAGTGTTCTGATGACATGCCCTAATTCTCAAGCCAGTGATAGCTCAAACATCAGGCTCGCTCTGTGCTATGAATGAGTGCTCTTATGGTTGGATGACTTGGGAGAGCACTTGGCATTGAGGCTTTTTATCAAATCGGACATGATGTTCAAGTAGGTAGTAAATGAAGGGATGTAAATCAGACGCTTGTCGCACAGCTTGATCCATTTAAGGCTTTAAAATTGCAAGCACAAGAAAGAAAAGAGTATATTTTAAGTTAGGTTATGAGTCTGTGCCTTTACTCAAAGTAAGGTTGCAATGTGCTGCACCAGAGCCTCGTTTTGTCATGTATATAAAAAGCCAACAGCTTATAAAACCTGTTGTGACTCAAACTGCTGTCTGGTGGGAGTCTTGCTTTCATCTTTGTATAGTCTTGTATCTTTTAATGAATTTTCCCTGAAATGTATGGGAAAGCTTAAAGTTGTCAAGATGTTTATTTAAAAAAAACAGTATTTTTTTTAGATTGCAATTAGAAAAGCAGTTAAAGACTTTATTTTATTATGTGAAGAGTGCCTAGAGTGGTATATGAAGAGGTGTCCTGAAGAATAAGCATTTCATTTTACAGTCTGTAGATCTTTTATCAATCCTTATCCTGCCAAGACCTGACAAGGAACTATGATGAGGAAGTGAGATGTTACACAGCACAGTAAATCAGCTTTCAGAGTTGGCTTCCTGTTTGGCACTAAAGGGAGCTGTTCAGTCTTGGGTTTATACTTTACACCCTTCCAGGGAATCCCTCTGAAGTCTGGAGCCCAGAAACTTTTGGGTGTAATTTAAAATACATTTTACATCTGTTTGACCAGTAAGTAAATAGAGATTAAGTTGGCGTAGGCTGTGAAAGGTGATTGATGAGGTTTCTCCTTTATGTTCTTATTCTTTTTTTTCCTCTTTTGGAAGTAAGTAAAAAAAAAACAGGTTTACATTAAGTTTTGCACTTAAGTGCTGTGAGAAGACAAGTCTTTTTCACAAGCATTCAATGAATGTCTGCTTGACCTCTGGTTGTTACTGTTAGTTGGCATTGCTTCTTCTCTGCTCTTGAGTATAGAGTTCAAATCCGGGCTGGTTTGCTTTCTGTGTTGAGTTTGCCCTCTGTGGGATTTTGCAGGATGCCCCAGTTTGTCCAACTTGCTGTGCGTCTCTGAATTGTGTATGTTCCTGCAGTGATCTGGTGTCCTATTCATATTGTATCCTACCTTGCAGCCATTTTCTGTTGGGCGAGACACCAGCTCAATGGGACTCTTCATTAAACTTGATTTAATTTTGCTGTTAATGAGAATGGATGAAAGTTTATGTAAAGGGACTAGCTGACGGTATGTCTTTTGTGCACTGTTGTCTAGGAATAAATTTAGATGGTCTGTTGTGTGTGATGTTGCGTTTTGAGGAATGTTTTCAAATTACTTTGTCTTTCATCTGAGACCTAAAGAGTAATTTTTATTCTCAAGTAATTTTAAGCTCAAGAAAAAACTGAGGGCTGATAGAGAAAGAAATCCCGTTGCACCTTTTTCTACAGAGATAAAAACTAGTTCCCCATAATATGCAGGCTTAGAAGCGCCAGATCCAAGCAGTACAATTCCACACAGTGGCCATGTATCAATGGATCATGCCCATGGAACTTCCATACTCAAACCATGCTCTGCATACAGGATTAGATTCATTGCCGTTGTCTCTGTGTGGTGACCACTTTTATTTCAGCTGCTACATCTCGGCAGTCACCTTGTTAGATGATTATTTTCATGTGGCATCTCTGCTTGAGCCACTGATCGGTTATATCTTTGTGTGGTGAATTAAAAAGTGTTCCCATTATGTGTCGAAGCTATTAGCCCCCTCTCAAATATCACCCAAACATAGAACAAAACACCAAACAATGAAATGTGATGTTCTCTAAATATCTGCATCATCCTAGGTCTTCTTTTTGAAACTGGCAGCCCAGAGGAGACAGCTTTCTGAGACACTGTTGTGATATGACATTGATGAAATACAATGAAATTTACTTTCAGTCTTTTGACTGTTTTCTCAGCTTGCCAGTGCAATGGCCACAGCACGTGCGTCAACAACAGTGTCTGCGAGCAGTGCAGAAATCTGACCACTGGCCAACAGTGTGAGACTTGCATGCCGGGGTACCATGGAGACCCCACCAATGGAGGCAAATGTCAAGGTAAGTTCAGTTAATGTAATCTTTATTAATTATTGCATTTCTTGCATCCAGCAGGCATATCACCCTGCAACTCACAACTGGCAGCTCACTGAAGCTAAGCAGGTGTGAGCCTGGTCAGTATCTGGATGGGAAACCTCCGGGGAAAAACTAAGTTTGCTGCTGGAAGCAGTGTTAGTGGGGCCAGCAGGGAGCACTCACCCTGCGGTCTATGTGGGTCCTAATGCCTCAGTATAGTGACGGAGACACTATACTGTAAACAGGGGCCGTCCTTCGGATGAGACGATAAACCAAGGTCCTGACTCTCTGTGGTCATTAAAAATCCCAGGGCGTTTCTCGAAAACAATAGGGGTGTAACCCCGGCGTCCTGTCCAAATTTCCCATTGGCCCCTACCAATCATGGCCTCCTAATAATCCCCATCTACGAATTGGCTTCATTACTCTGCTCTCCTCCCCACTAATAGCTGATGTGTGGTGAGCGTTCTGGCACTCTATGGCTGTCATTGCATCATCCAGGTGGATGCTGCACATTGGTGGTGGTAGAGTGGTGTCCCCATTACCTGTAAAGCACTTTGAGTGGAGTGTCCAGAAAAGCTCTATATAAGTGTAAGCAATTATTATAATTATTTATTCCAAGGCACCTTGCCTACATAACAGGAAACTATCTCTATCTACTACCAAAGTGCAGCATGGTCCAACCGGGTGACAGGTAGCAAATGAGGTAGAGGACTAAGAAATTAATTCGCCATTTGAATTGAAGGGGGAGTTATAGAGAGGAAAGAGAGAAGTGTCCAGGCCCCAAGTGGAATTCAGCCAACAGGGCTTCCATCTACAGTGGCTATCAGATGTGTGACAACCACTGAAGAATTAGACACTAAATGAATTGAAATGTCACTGGTTATTTTCTGTTTTATATTTTTAATTAATTTAGGAGGATCTGTAGAATTTTGTTTTCAATTTGACATTGTAAGGTGGATTGTGTTGCTGAGTGGCAAAAATCACATATAAATACATTGTGATTTTATATTGTAAAAGTGTAAAATGTGAAAATGTACAAGGGGGATGAATACTTTTGATAGCCACTATACGTTTTTGAACAGTGCTTTGGGATCTTTCATGACTAAGTAGTCATAGCCTTGATTTGAAGCCCTATCTAAAGGACAGTACCTCTACAGCATAGTGTCTTTGGTCACTGCACTGGGACTTTGGTTTGGGAATTCTTGTTCAGAGGGAAGAGCGCCTCTTACTGGTCCAGCCATGTACAACTAACAACATTCTCCATTGGCCTCCAGTTGTAGTGGATGCACATACTGTATCATGATTAAATGAATAAAATTAAATCTAATTCTCCTGTAATGTTTTTACACATTTTGGGTGTATGATGCACTGAGTTTGAAAGTCCTGGGGTCTTAATGTTCTACTTTGCATGAAGTAACTAAATATTTTAAAATAAGGTTGACTTTGATACACATGATACAAATTTGTATTTTTACTTGCTTTGAATTGATTGGAGAAAGTTAATTTAAACATTTTTCATGTTATTATGACCAGTTGAAATGAAAAAAAACTGTATGAGGAATTATTCTCTTTGCCAAAGGGAATTATTTTCTTTCCTACAGAGTGTTGATGAATCAGTATAGATTTCTTGCAGCCGTTCAATTTTACGTGTGAATTCCCACACTCAGTGTCTCTAACCTTTCTTCGAAATTGCTCTTTGAAAATCGTCATACATTTAGTACCTCATGCAACTCTTGCTTGAGTGGCTGGCAGTACAGACCATCCTCTGAAACATATTTCACACGAAAAAGCCATTTTGTATCTTAACTTAGGGTTCTGTACCTTGACCAAGAGGGAACTGTTCAGCACAGCTTGTATCAATGTAAGACCAAATTGGAATACCTTCCTTGGGTGGTTTATTTTGCTGCTTTTACAAATGTTTGGCTGAAGCTGTGCTTCTGCCTTGTTGAATGTAGTCTTCTTGACATTGCACTCTTACTTTCAGCATCATAGAGAATACTATCCATATAGACACATATATTAATGGCTTACTTAAACTGTATGATATTTTTTCTGGAGGGAAAGTAATAACACATTTCCATGGTTGACAGATGCACATTTGGCTGTTTTTTATATGACATTAAATAATTCTTAATCATTCTCCTATTTCCTGAAGTTGAGTGAAGGTTCTAATGCCCTCAGTAGCTCAGAGTGGATATTTGATAGATGAGAGCATTGCAGTCTTTAGGGATGCATTAGCTTTCCAGGGCATATAAGTACTGTGCCACCTCAGTGAAATATGTTAAATGGTGTAATGATAAAAAGCAGTATATTGACATTGCAAGATTATATATTGTACTACTTGTTTAATTGGCTGGTGTTGAACTGCACTAATATGATGTTTCATTTTCACAATGGAATACATGACTAGAGGAAATTTACCTTTGTTAATAGTTTGAAGTCATTGATCTATGGTAGATTATGACATAATTTGAGATTTTCCTTTGCCATTTATGTGCAGTGTGCCACTTGAGACAGATTTGAGCAGTTTCTGTATAATGCTCTGGAAATGCAGCCATAAAATATTTAGACAGAATACTATAACACAAAATGGTGCTTTGAAAATGTGATATTCCGAAGTGGAATTCTATGAAGATGAACATTTTGCCTCCTTGATTGTTCTATTTCTCAAAAGGCATTGGTCTCATTCAAATAAAGTATAAAAGAGAGGTACTGCAATGATTTACTACAACATTACAAAATGAGGTGTTATGACCTGAAACGTATCATAAAAGGTCAGATTCAATTTCATGTCTTGCACTAATTTTAGCCAGGCATAGGCAAAATGTGTGGCTTCTTAATCTTTGTGTGCACTGCAGTGAAAAAAAGATATCTAGTTTTCTTTTACGTTTTTGCAACCCATTTAGCCAAATTGACTAAATTAAAATGTTTTTGTTTAACATCTGTATATAAAGAGTGCAGGTGCTGAAAGAATTTGAAACATTTTAAATAGGAAACAGCAGTGATAAAACAGACTTAATACACAGAAAACAGATAGAATATCTATTTAAGAACCATCTGCTGACGACTCCAAAAAGCGGGCTGCTGTGAACAAACAACTCATCACATCTGGCATGCACTTTTGTGATTTAAGTGGTGAAAAGAGCACAGGAACTGGACAAATGTGTTATAGTCAGAATCATACTTCATGTTCTGGACAAACAGATGTGTGAAGCACCATCCTAAAGAACTCTGTATCTGTATGCTAATTGGCATTTGATGTGATGATGATGATGATAATAATAATGATGATGATGATAATAATAATTGCTTACACTTATATACCGCTTTTCTGGACACTCCACTCAAAACACTTTACAGGTAATGGGGACTCCCCTCCACCACCACCAATGTGCAGCATCCACCTGGATGATACGATGGCAACCATAGTGCACCAGAACGCTCACCACACATCAGCTATTAGTGGGGAGAAGAGCAGAGTAATGAAGCCAATTCGTAGATGGGGATTATTAGGAGGCCATGATTGGTAAGGGCCAATGGGAAATGATGATGATGTGATCATCTCTACCCCATTTTGCAACATTTCTTTCCTGCAAGAAGGGTTATCTTCCTGGCTGACATGCCACTGTTCCCAGATCGAATATGGTCAGTCAGTGGTTTGATGAATATTACTCTAATCTTATCCATCACCTTCTCATTCACCATATCTGAACTCAAATCAAACATACAGTATACAAGACATTTTGGAATGACATCTGAGATTCTGTTTTCCACTTCTAGCAAAAGGCCGTGAGTTGATGAATAGTGCTGCATTCCACTACAGAATTACAACTGTTGTAACAGATCAAACTGGCCATACAGGTTGGCTCAACATCCTATTAAGTGACTTTACATTGTTTTTTCCATTTTCTGTTCACTACTTATGTTGTTTGGATAGCAGGGTAAATGCTCATGACTTTATGAGTATCATTGTGCACAGCAGGTATTGTACAAGCTGAAACAATATGATTTTACTTTCCTTCCATTTTCTTCCATCACAGTCCTGCTTGGGAGAAGCTATGTTATTAGGGAAGTACACACTTCATGTTCACTTACACCGCTTAACTGGTTTAAAAATCTGTGCATGACATGACAGTAAATTAAGATGCTTATTTGTTCCCAATTTCTCTGCAGTTTCAGTGTATTTAAATCCTACTTAAAATTGATTCTGCCAGCTCCCAAAGGAACATTTTGTGAGCTTCTCTAATGAGCCTACAGTCAGGGCTGTTTTAGATGAAACTGATGCACTTTTCCTCCCTACCTTTCCAGTCTTTGATTCAGGTTTAAATAGAAAAATAAATTTAGCCTTCTCTTAAATGACAGAAATATGTGTCTTACATAAAGAACATTGAGTTGATAGTTTCCTGTTTAACATTTTTTAGATGGAAAAAAATAATCGGCATGCACATACACACTTACATTTCTTCAAGTACTCAAGGCAAGAAGTGTCGTTTTTGCTGATTTCTAGAGATGTTGGTGTGTGTGTGTGTGTGTTCATGCACAGATTGAATTAGTGCAGTGTTTACAGTATCTTAAATCAAGTACACTGGTGTTGTTACTCGCTCAAGATGTCTTGTAAAAGTGTGATATTAGACAAGTGCAACTGTAAAAGAGATTAATACTCTTAATACCCCACACTATATAGTGTTCCATTTTCCTGTTTCTAAGCCTTGGACTACTGTTCTCAGATTTCTTTACTGCTGTACATCATTGTTTAAAAACGTTTCCTTTCCTTATATACTCACCTCTATGCTGCTGCCATCGTTGCTTATTCTGCAGAACAATGCTGCCTCCTACAAAGGTGAGCCTCTGAGCTCATACAGTATTTTGGCCTGAAAGTACATACTGTCAGATGTGATCTGCAGGCAGCCCATGTAACTACAAAGCCTTTTCATTTCTGAATAATTAACTTATAGTGCATGTACTGTAGCATGTAGTGCCAGATT